CAATGAAAAACAGATATTTGTCAACAAGTTTACAGAAGTATATAGGAAAACAATTTTAAATTGAGTATGACCACCAGGTATAAAGGTTGGAGCAGAATAGAATACAATAGTTGTGAGGGTTACTAATCCCTAAATAAGGTTGCCAGTGTCGGAGTGATGGAGGTTAACAGGTACTAATGAATTTGCAAGAAATGTAAGATGTTTATTTTATTGGTTATATAAATAACCAATAAAAGTTTAATAAGTACCTACCTATTTGCAAAATAAAGTTTAATTCTTTAGATAAAATAAAACGTTTTATTTTATCTGAAATGAGTGCATTCCACGAAGTAAGGGTTTCAACAATCAAACATTTAATTCTTTAATTCCAGGAATCTACGACAGTAATTGACTAGATAATTACCTTCTAAACTTATTCCACAGAAAATGTGATAGTGGGTTTTTCCATTTTGTAGGAAGGTCTAAGTGGCGTATTCAAAATTCTTAACAGTTCACTAAAAGTAGGTACTTCAGTTGCAAGGTGCAGTTTATTGTGTATACTAGTGTTATGGAAAATTTAGAAGTGCCGTGTAAACGCCGAAAAATTGGTCCTTTAACAGTTAATGAAAAAACATTAATATTTAATCGTTTTAAATCATTTACAGACAAACGTTTATGTGAAAGTGTTGATGAGACCATTGAGTTAGTTAGCAGTACACTTGGTGTTGGGAAATCTACGATTTACAGAGTTATTAATGAAGAGAAATGTGGTAGTTTTCAAATGCCACGTAATGCTCCAGGGAAACCAAAATTTCAAATAGAATATCATTTTAAGGAAGGACTTCGACGGAAAGTGCATGAATTCTTCTTTAGACAAGAATTTCCAACATTGGATAAAGTTCTTGTCTCAGTTCGAGATGATAAGGATTACCCAGAAATGAGTCGAAGTACGTTATGGAAACTTTTAAAAGAAATAGGCTTCCGCTGGAAAAAGAATCCCAGAAAGTCTATTTTATTAGAAAGAAGCGATATTGTCATATGGAGAAGACATTTTCTAAGAACCATAAAGGAAATGAGAAACCAAAAAAGAAAAATATTTTATCTTGATGAAACATGGATCAACGAGGGTCATACACCAAATAAATTTTGGCAGGATGAAACTGTTACAAGTCAAAGGCACGCTTTTGTATATAACTTATCTACTGGTTTTAACCCACCATCAGGAAAGGGACGCAGGCTGATAATAGTACACATTGGCAGTTCAGACGGTTTTGTTGAAGGTGGTTTATTAACTTTTGAATCAACTCGTACCGGTTACTACCATGAAGACATGAACGCTGATGTCTTTCAAGAATGGTTCGAACAAATGATAGATCTTCTTCCTAAGAACTGTGTAATAGTAATGGATAATGCAAGTTATCACTCCAGACTTATAGAAGGACTGCCCACAACCAAGTAGTTAAAAAAAGACTTGCAGAATTGGCTGAGTTCAAAAAATATTACGTACCATCCCGGATCTATAAGAAAGGAACTTTATTCGTTGTGTGCCCTCCATAAAGAAAAATTTTAAAAAATACGAAATTGATGAAATTGCCAAAAATCGTGGAATGACAGTACTTAGATCCCCACCATATCATTGTGAATTAAACCCGATTGAACTGGTATGGGCACAGATAAAGAGTGAAGTTTCAAGAAAAAATACCACTTTTAAAATTCATGATGTTAAACAGTTGTTTTTGGAGGCCGTAAATAATGTAAAACCTGAAAACTGGGAAAAGGCAGTAAATCACACTATTAAAGAAGAGGAAAAAATGTGGAAGCTGGACAATATTACTGATAAAATGATCGAGCCAGTTATTATAAATCTTGGTTCTGAAAGTTCATCTTCTGAATCTGATTTGGATTTGTAACAAGTAGCTGTAAGTTTTATATTAATATTTTTATTCATCTATTTAAGATACCTTAGACGGTTTTAAAAACTCTTTTGCTCTTTTGTAATTTTTAAAAATTTTAAAAAATGTGATTTTTTTAAAACCCTTTTTAATGTAGGCCAGTCAGTTCTAATATAGTGTGTGATAAAAGAGGTCACTTTTGTTTACATACACATAACACTTTATAACACTGAAATAATTCATTTATTTTTTACAATTATTCAAAGTAATTTTTCAATTAATCTTGAGCACGCCCATGGAGTGGTCGGAGGTACCAGTTAAAATTATGCTAATTACTCTCTCGTTCATAAAAATAAAACTATAACCTTGCACAGTGTTTAAACATTTTTGGAAACCAATTTTTACGATATTTTTAGGACGATTTTGGTTAACGAAACGTAAAAATAGATCATTTATAGTTTAAATAACTTAAATATGGACATATGTAATTTGATAAATATTTATAGTTGTAGGTAAATAATATCGTATTGAAATATTATGAAGAATTTTAATTTTATCAATTATTTGCAACAGAAAAGGCCATCGAGTACAATAAATCAGTATATCTATATTTTATAGACCTGACAAAGGCTTTTGATCGCATCCAAGTCGAAGACGTCTTACACCTACTCTATAAAAGAAACATACCAATTGATATTATACAAACCATCGAAAACATCTACTTCCATAATCGAATACAGGCAAAGATAGATGGAAAACTAACACAATGTATATCAGCACAAAGCGGAGTCACACAGGGTAACAGTACGTAAAGGTCATGGTAATGGGGAACAAATAAATCCGAATATTATGTTATGCAGACGACGCGACGCCTCATTAATCGCCGAGACAGAAGACGAGCTCCAAAGATTAACACACATCTTTAATACAACCGCCGAAAAATACAATACGATAATATCAGCAGAAAAAACCAAATGTATCTTCTTCTTAGAGTGCCGTCTCCCTACGGAGGTTGGCAATCATAATGGCTATTTTTATTTTAGAACTTGCTGCTCTAAACAAATCAATCGATCTGCATTGGTACCAATCACGTAGATTCTTTAACCATGAGTTCTGCCTTCGGCCAACAGATCTTCTTCCTTGAATCTTTCCCTGTATTATCAGTCTCAAAATTTCATATTTTGGTCCCCTCATCACGTGGCCTAGGTATTCCAGTTTTCTGGTTTGTATAGTGGTGATTAGTTCTGTTTCTTTACCAACCCTCTCCAGTACTTCTTTATTTGTAATTCTATCAGTCCATAATACCAAATGTATGACAACATCTAAATAACCACTACGATGTAAAATCGAAATTGATGGGAAAATAATAAAGCAGGAAGCAAGATTTAAATGTCTGGGAATAGATATATCTAGTTACAGAGATATTGAAGAAGAAGTACGACAACAAAGCTAAAAGCAAGTAAAGCGGCGGGATCTCTTAATGACACAATCTGAAAGAACAAACACACAAGACAAGGCAAAACAACAAGAATCTGTAAAGCAGCAATTAGACCTATATTAACATACACGGCGGAGGCAAGACTTAACACATCTAAAACGAGACAACTACTGGAAACAACAGAGATGAAAATACTCCGACGAATATCAGGGAAAAGCCTGTTGGATAGGGAGAGAAGCATAAAGATAAGAAGAGCATGCAATATAGAAGACATAAATCGATGGGTGACAAAACGAAAACAGGAGTGCAATGACCATATTAGTAGAATGGCAGCGGATAGGATAGTACGAATAGCACGAGATAAGTCACCAAATTGACGAAGATGTATTGGCAGAGCAAGAAAAAGAGGAAGCGATAATTTAAACAATTTAGGAGGCTAATATTGAAAAGAAACAGGCTTTAAAGCCTACATACAAGAAGCAAGAAAAAGAAGAAAATTTGCAACAATTTATTGTAAATTCAAGTGTAAATGATCTACTTATACAATTTAGTTTTCTAATAAAAATCGTTGAAAAATTTTTTTGTCTAAAATGGTTCAAACACTTAACATGCTTAATTTAATATTAATTTTATTTAAAAACGGTCACATTCGTTTTTTTACGAAGGGCAAATTAAAAAAACAACCGTCAAAATCCATCAACAAGTAACGGAGATATATAGTTTATAACGCAAATATTAAAGTAATCCTTTCACTACTCCAAGCTGAATGAATTACAGATCAACATCTTGAAGCTTTGTAGACGACTTTGTTCAAACTTTGTACATTAAAACTTTAATCCTTGATCTTTGAAATGTCACTAATAAGGTTTCTTAATAAACAAGCAAGCTAGGAATTAAAATAACATTTTATTGTCACACGACAACTTTTTTTCTAAATTTGTGAAAAATGCCAGCTCTTCGAATATTAAAAACTAATTTTTCCTTGGGGAATAGCAAAAAAAAGTTATTCAAATTGTTCATACGCAAAAAATTGCACTGTTGATACAATCAAATTTTGCAATGTTGGAAACGGTTTCTTCCAAACTTTTTATCTTGCCAATCTTGTTTATGCTACCCGTAGAATCGTGCAAGTTAATTTTTGTCCGTTTTACGTTACTGCAAAAAATAGGTTGTTTGGGTTAAATCAATTGAATAACTTTTAAACTAATTGATGAATCAATCCGAAATTTTAACCACATTTTTAACACCATAATACCAAACTTTCCACACAATATCAAAGTCATAGGCACATTTTTACAACAGTTAATAACATTTATTGAAAATTGAAAATTCTTAGGTTTTTTACAGTTCTCTAAGCAACAAATTAGTAAATCATAAATTGACATTTTAAAGTCTTAAACGTGTTTTATCAAATTTACCTCTATGTTCGTTCACAATTCTTTACTTTTTATTGGTAAACGAAAGTTTTTCAAATGGGTCATGTTTGGCCTTAAATGCTTAATCGTGCAGTCGGTTCACCGAACCGACTGGACGATATATGCGAGTTTTGGGCTATCGAAATCCATAAAACTTATAAAAATTGTCAGATACCTAGATCACAGTTACGGGAATACCTTATTTTTCTGGTCTAACAATAATTTTTTTTCAATATAACGAATATTATACACAATCGAATAAATTCTTTTTTCTAGGGAGACTACATCGATCTCTACTTAGGCTCCTACTTCTGCTTTACGACGATGGGAGCAGCAGCTCTTGGCAACACCCTATCCGATATCATGGGTATCGGTTCGGCTTTCTACGTTGAACGACTAGCCAATCGCATCGGCTTCAAACCTCCCAAACTATCACCCATGCAGTTGGACATGAATTGCTGCAGGAATTCGGCAAACGCTGGAAGAGTACTAGGAGTGACGTTGGGATGTATACTTGGTATGTGCCCGTTATTGTTCAAATTGGGAAAAGAAGACTCAGACAAAAAGGAAGAAGTAGAAGACGGTTAAAGTACCCTAACGGTGCAGAGTTGATAGGTTTAATCAAAATTGGTTGCTGGAAATTTACTGTTATGTTGGAAATTTTCTAACGACCAGGGAATCTCTTTCGCTCATACAGCAGGTTTTTATGAAGTGAAAAATATTTAGCAGGTTTTAAATTTATAATATTCATACTTTTGTTTGCCTACGATGTTTTAATGCAAGTACGGATCCTGATATTCCTGATACTCAAGGTGTTGCTACCCAAAACTAAAGATTTTTTTATGGTTCTAAAATTATTAAATATAAAGTATTTTTTAAATAAAATCTTCTTGTATTTTAAATACTTTAAAAAGTCTTCTTTTTTTCCTCATTAAGTAAATCCTTGGTTCCACGTCATCTTAATAAGGTGGATATTTAATATCTCATTTAGCTATCAGTTATCTTAAAATCTTTGCCAATTTTACAGTTTGGACAATGGACAATTGGTCATGACATATGGTCATAGGGATGGTCATTGGAGAAATATTTGAAACTATCAAAATTTTGAGCATATCCCACATATTTATATAGACAGCAGACGTCATTTATGGTGAAGTGGGCTGACCGGCCAAACGATCGGAAGCTTGGAATTCATTCAGTGGCGCATCTGCAAAGTTAGTGTTATCTGCTATTTACACAACCTTGTACCATTGTTTTATACTCATGATTTACTTAAACAATAGGTCTTTCTAAAACTTCACTCTAGTTGGTGTTTTCTGTAACTTCTTTAATACAAAACACCTTTCTTATCATTTTTCCAAACTAAATATACAATTTTAAATTACAAACTAAAAGAAAATTTATACACGACGCCTTTTGTCAGAATAATGTATTATAAAAAGACATATATTAGGGAGTTAACCGAAAGAAAACATGAGTGACCAGTATCTTAAGGGATTATTTAATAATTAGGCTGCTATGATTTAAGTATATAGATAATTTTTAGCTGCTACTATACTTCTTTACTAACTTTACAATTTATTTGAATTTAGCAGATAAGGGTTTCAAATAAAATCATTTTATGGTAGCATCTTAGCAAATAGTAATAATACAACTTTTATTCTCTTTCTGTGACCGTAATTGGATATAACTTTGACCACTATATCCGCTATCAAAGCTTTATTGACAGCATCTTTAAATAATAATAATTTAGTCGATTTTGGATACCGTTGTCTTTTAAGCAATTCTTCTTCTGCTATGGCCATATTCATCTTGGATCTTTACCTGTCAGCACTCCTCTCCAGTCTATCTCCACCTATCTCCAGATAATCGCCGCCTAGCCAAATTCTTATGAAATTCAAGCCGCAACTCTACCAGACTGGTTCTTAAAAGAAATGCTCTTGATAACATCCATAATATCACATCTTTTATTCGATTTTACTTAGCACTCAATTGATACCTGCAAATTAGTATTATTTTTATTATTTGTGTAATAACTTAACTACAAATAAATAAATTTTTGCATATTCTGACCAAAGTTCGTGCTGACTATACTTATATAAATCACTTTTATTAAGGAACCTATATCTTGTATAAATGTTTTTTAATTTTTATTAATTTTATATTTTTGACATACATATTAACTGAATATGTTGATACATAGGTAAACTCATCAATTTCAATTGATTATTGGTTTAACCCAGTGTTAATATAAAAACATAACAGTAAATTGTCAAGCAACTCGCAACAGCAGAACCAAAATTGTATATAGTAAATAGAATGTGCAATTGTTGAATGGTGCCATGTTGTATGTAGATACATCACACTACGTCTTTTGTAAAACAGATAATCAGTTGGCGAAATATAATAATTAAAATCAGAAAAATATTTTCTGAGTTTCCGACTTTTTTCATTCTTCTTTTTCATCTTTAGTTAAATTAAAATAATTTTAACTTAACCAAACATGAATTGCATATCTAGCAACAACTATAAACCACTCTGGAACGTGTTGTTAAACACTTAAAACGTCAAATCGGTGCCTTTTTGGCTTATTTTATTATTGCGAATTTAACTTTTGCAAGTTTCTATGGTAGGTAATTTATTTTATGGATATTGGAGCTTTTCTGATCTATTTATTGCGGACAATTACTGCTCATATTTATATAAGCATTAATATTGTGAAGAAAACATCACAAGATTGGCTTCTGTGATTCAATTGTATTCATAACACAGTGTTCAATTTAACTTTTTGTCTCTTTTAGTATCGGCACAGTTCAGTTCTTGTAAAAAAGAGAGTAATAGTGAAAAGAAAAGAATATTATTTCCATCACAAACTTTGAAGTAAATTTGTCAAATGTCACCTGTCACATACTAAATATGTGACGTATCAAATGGAAGGTCATGTCTTTTCGCACTAGCTGTTATCTCCTGACTAAATTAGTTTTATAGAAAATTGAGTGGAGCCATACCTCTTTTGATATGCAGACTGGGCGATGCCGATTACGTTCATTATGTAACCAAACCCCCATCATCCAAAAACCGGCCTAGTCCTACTGGTCTGTTCCTCTCCGTTCCGATCCAGAAAGTAACAGACCAGTAGCGTATGGCCCTTTATGGAGCGGTATTTCACCAGCTATAAACCGCACGAGATCCACCATCCCCCTTTCCCAAAAAAATATGCTCGCAAAAATTGCAGCATAAATAAAAGTAGAAATATATTATTTAAAAAATGTAAAAACAATTTTTTACTAAAAAGGGGGATAGACACCGAACGAAACGGATTTCACAATAACTAATACAACATTTTAGCGCCATCTATTGGCACATATTTAAATAGCGCTATCTAGTGAGCGTTAGTGCAAACTTAACTCTTGTTACATCTACTTTTAAAATATAGTAATTCTTGTTCTTCGTGAACTGATTATCTGTTTTATATAGTCCATAAAAATCTTATTGGTAGGTAATAATGTTCCGTAATATTATTATATATTTGTATTAAACTTTGCATAGTTTAATTTTGTAAATAAGACTATTTATTGCAATAATATTTTCTATTTAAAATATAGTGACACTTCTAGTGTTGTTAATCATTTGGTAATAAAAAAAATAAACGTTTTAAGATAAATTTCATTTTATATGTAAAAAAAATTAGTAGATATAGTTTTTGGATACCTCAATATCACTTCTTGGAGCATTCTTGAAGTACTTAATGCTATTTTTAGTAAACTTTTGTATCTTTCTCTAATAATACTCTAGTTCATGTTTGATGCTGCCATTTCCTTTAATTGTACAACTTCCGGCTCTTCTCTAACGTCACTGTAAAACGTTTTCAGTTAGAGGTCTTTTTGATACCTTATAAATTTTCTCCTTAATTATTTTATTTTGCACTCAAACAATCATAGCGGCTGTATCGCTATTCATGTCAGTAACTGACGTGAATTTAGACAACTGTCGATACATTTTCTAAAAATCTGCGTTTCAATTACATGCTGCGTTCCAAAAAATGTTAAAATAGTAGAGAAGAAACTTTGAATAGACATCTAGACATATAATATAATATCCTAAATATATTTAAAGTTTATATTTGACAAACGGGGAAACTAATCCGTAACCGAATATGGCAACACATGACTTAAATAGAAGTGTCGCTATATATTATATGTTGTCTATTTTACAAGTTTTATTATCTTGACTGTTATACAATTATATATTTTAAGAACCTTTGTTATATCGGTATGAAAAATAGTGAGAATTATGACAGGAAATAAATGATTTAAATTAAAAAAAAAAAATTATTAACAAATACGGTGTAATAATTAATGGAACTGGAATGGGATAACTTTTGAAATGTATGCAAGACAAAGGCTTTAGTATTCGTAGGCTTGATGGCATAACAAAAACTCAGTTTAAAGTCAGTTCAAAAAATTCTGACCTTCAAAACTGGTACAATTAACTGTTATTACATGGCAAAAGTATTTTCAAGCCCAATATTTGCACCAAACAGTACAATTGTCTTAACAATCATTCATGAAATTTCAAAACCCTCATGAAACTATTCACGATGCCATCAAAATGAAAATGTAACTCATTGCTGGAGATAATTTCACTACAAAATCAGCTTTTGACTCAATTAAACAGTGTATAAATAACTCTTAAGCACCCACGAACTGCTTCGATCTTTTATACTGAATAACTTATTGAAAGGCAGATAGACTATCTAAAGTCGATTGATCCAGTTTTTCTGAATATTCGCTGAGCATATTTTGTACGAGAACGTTGAAATGTTTACGATGTTGTTTCGTGTCAGTTGTCACTTTAACTGAATTTTCCTTAGAGTAGGGAATTTTACACGTCAAAACGTTTTACAGGGAATTTTACACGTTTTGTCATATAAAATTCCCTACTCTAAGGTATTTTCCTTTGACGACAATGTACGGAGCAAATGGCGCCAAATTCAAGTATTTTGTGAATTTCTGGTGGTAAAGAAGAACGTAATAACAGCGTTTCCGTGTCCAGAAATGTTGTTACATTACAAAGTTAAAAGTATGAAAATATTTTAAGAACAAAAGTATTGCAACTTCCAATGACAGGGTTTATCCTGCAGTGACTTCAAAAAATTACGTTTTTGTTAATCGTTTTCATTATTTTTCGTCTAAAGCGTTAACAATATATAGGACTTTTAGAAAGTATGGAAATTCAAAATTCTTGATCAACAATTGCACTAATAGTCTTCCTTTGTACCGCTAGTGTAGTTTTAGGAGTATAGCAGGGTAGTCTACTATTTTTTGAACCTAAACGTAACAGGGCCATTTACACCTATTATTGCTCTTAATTTTATTCAAGTTACTCATTTTAATCACGCTGTGTTGACTTGGAGCCTCTATATATTGTAAAACTGCATCCTTTAAACCAAGTCTTATGGTTTAACACGCTTGGTAATTTAGCATGACTTGAGGTCTCAAGAGTAAATGTGAAAAGTCCACTTAGAACTAGTGACGGGAATTTCGGGTCATCTTTGAGATTCGGGTCACCGGTTCTGGTTCACTTAAGAGAACCGGATCACTTTGTCGGGTCACGGGTCAGTCGGGTCAGTAGAGATCATAATATGATCTATGCAAACCAAATCTATAATTTTCACGGTAGGCGGTGGGTGAATAATCGAGTGTAAGAGCATTATGTTATTATGTAGTTGTTATTCAATCTTACAAGTAAATGTTTTGGCAACCAAAAATTTACTTTGATCTATTAAATTTTGCTTAATTAAACTTAAAATTCAAATTTGATTTTTAAGCTAATTATATATCAACTAAACGTTTCTTTAAGCATGCTAATTTAAGCATACCCATATAAGGTCTCTTTAATGTACAAA